CCATTGGGGTTTGGAAATTGAAGGCCACCACCAAAAAGTTACTAAAAACGTAAATAAAATTATAATTCCTTGCCATAAGAAGTAACTGAAATTATGTATAGCTTAATAAACTACTTATATAACATGAATGAGAGAAGTGTTTTGAAAAACTGTATCAGAGCATGTACTATAGTATTGTTACGTCTCTGGTCGTTAGTTAATTTCCCGTATAATTTATTTCCGATGAAACTTTAGCGACACAAGTCCTTTCTTAAATAAAACTAGTTTATTCTTTCTCAATACAACTTTGAAATTCACTTAATTTCCACAGTCACGCTATAACTTAAACAAACGTTATAATTCACAATGAACGACTCACGCACTCGACCCAACTGTCCGTCTCTATCTCTGTCTGCAATTCAACTACATTACATTGTTTGCCGTCACTTCTTGGCGGTCTTACATATACTGTTACGTCTCCGTTTGTTAATTAACTTTCCGTAACTTCTTTCCGACGAAACTTTAGCGACACAAGTCCTTTCTTAATAAAACTGGTTTATTCTTTCCGAATATAACTTTACCGATACACTCAACTTCAACAATCGCGCTAAACAAACGCTGTAACGTCTCTCGTGCTCTCTGACTGCAGTTCAATTACTCACTGTCCATTCACACATTACATTACCCTCTTTTATATACCAGCCTACCCTATCTAGTAAATACTAGAGCATTCATGAAGAAACAAGATAGTTCTAGAAACTAGAGGGCGCCACAGCAGTCATGTGACTCGCTGACGCAACAATATTAAGAGTGTTAGATAACTAGCACTGTGATTGCATTTGTTTGTTTATTTATTTTAGAGCAAAACCACATTGGGCTATCTGCTGTGTCCACCTCGAGGAATCGAGACTCGGATTTTATCGTTGTAACTGCGTGAACTTATCGTTGGCCCACCAGGAAATTGTAATTGTTAACAGACTGATTTGGAGTGTGTTTACAAGATATTGTTTCGTCATCGAGGTCACGTGACTGGTGTGGCGCCACCTATTTTCTAGAACTATTCTGTACCTTGGCGAATGCTCTAGTATTTACAAGATATAGGGTAGTCTGGTATATAAAAGAGGGTGACAACGTGACGGAGAGTAATTGAACTGCAGTCAGAGAGAGACGTATTGTTGAAGTTAACGTTCGTTCGTTATAGTGTTTGTTTTAGCGCGAATATTGAAATTAAGTTTTTCGTAAAGTTATATTCGGAAAGAATAAACCAGTTTTATTAAGTAAGGACTTGTGTCGCTAAAGTTTCATCGGAACAAAGTTACGGAAAGTTAATTAACAAACGGAGACGTAACAAACTGGTGTCAGAAGTGGAACGAAAAAAAATGGAAACGAGAGGCGGAAAATCAACCTACAGCTTGGAAGACTTGATGGCAGCAATACAAGAGCAGCAAAAGAAACAAGAAGAACTAGAAAATGAACTAGAAAAGAAACAAGAAGAGAGACAACAGCAGTTGCAAGAAAACCTGCAACAGTGGCAGCTCGAACAACAGAATAAACAAGAAGAGAAATTACAGCAGTTGTTTTACAGCAGTTGTTAGAGGAGAAAGAAAATAAACAAGAAGAAGTTTCCTTTCTTGTTCCAGTTGCCACTGCTGTAGTCTCTCTTCTTGTTTCTTTTCTCGCTTCCTACACTGGCTCCTCAAATGTCCGTGCTTTCTACAGTTCCAACAACTTTTCTGGATACCAGCCTTTCCTGCTGTGGCACCTCCCATGTGTTGAAGTTTCCAGCATTGAGCTCTCTTGTGCCCAGGTTTATTACAGTGCCAGCAAAGTCCCTCAAACCTCTCTGAAAGCTGACCTTTTCTGGCCTTGAATCCGGAAGACTGTACCAACCTTGGTACCTCTGTGCTGGACTTAACGTAGGATTCAAATTCGAGAGCTCTGGCCATTGCATCCTGCATGGGAGAGGGGTGTGCTTGCTTCACTTGTATCTTAAGTTGTGGACTGTCCAAGGCATCTACAAACTGATCCCCCAGCAACAACTTGAAGAGATCGGGTGGTGCAGTTGGGTAGGCCTTATGTGTCATGCTTTCCAAGTCCTGTGCCAGCTCTTGCAGGCTCTCCCCTTTAGCATGGACTCTCGTCCTAAACCTAGCTTTGTAGACTTCTGACTGATTTTGGGTTCCGTACCTGAGTTCTAGAGCTGC